GTACAGGCAAGATGGTGTGGGAAAGGCAGGCAGGAGAGCCAGTGTCCAAGGAGGCAATTCCCAAGAATACAGGACTGGCGAAAGGTCTCCCCTTTGATACTCCTCTAGATTCAGCCTCAAGTGCTGGCACCTGCCCCACCCTATGGGAAGAAAGCTGAAGGCAGCTTCCCTTGATACACATGATCCACTTATGTGATCTTAAATGTCCTCCAGCAGTCTGGGAGGCTGTGCTGAGATGCACGTACATAGTTGTGCTTGATCTAAAAGCAGGCTGACATGGACTCGCACAAAGTCTGGGGCTTGAACAGAGAAGCGTAATATAATGGGAGCTGGGAAGACACAAGAGGTCCAAAGCAGAAGCACTCCTTTCCCACTTCCTCAGCAAACCTTATTGCCAACAAACCAGGTCTCTGAAAGCCTCCCTCCTCTAGGCCTCTCCTGTAGGCAGAAATTCCACCCTCGGTAGCTTTGTCTCCATTGGATTCGGGATCTTGCCTTGAGCAGGGGCTTGGACTTGATGACCTCTTGAGGTCCCGTCTAGTTCTACATTTCAGTTTTGGGCCCCCCACTGCAGAAAGGATGTGGACAAGTTGGAGAGTCCAGTGGAGGGCAGCAAAAATGGTTTGGAGGCTGAGGGATATGATTTATGAGGAGAGGCAGAGGGAACTAGGCTTATTTAGTCTGGAGAAGAAAAGACTGAGAGGGGATTTAATAGCTGCCTTCGACTCCCTGCAGGGTGGGTCCAAAGAAGATAGAGCTGGACTGTTCTCAGTGGTGGCAGATGACAGAACAAGGAGAAATGGTCTCAAGTTGCAGCAAGGGAAGTTTAGGTTGGCTAGGAGGAAAAACTTTTCCACTAGGAGGGTGCTGAAGAAGTGGAGTGGGTTACCCAGAGAGGTGGTGGAATCTCCATCCTTGGAGGCTTTTAAGGCCCTGCTTGTCAAAGCCATGGTTGGGATGATCTAGTCCTGCTTTGAGCAGGGGTTGGACTAGATGACTTCCTGAGGTCCCTTCCAACCCTAATTTCCTGATTCAAAGTCCAGTGCTCACTTCACCCTGCCACTCCACAAGGCAACACTATCTGCTATGTAATGGTTATGATCTTTCATTCATGGACCAGACCTCCAGTTTCTTTGTCTTTAGGGGCAGTTGGAGGATTACAGTCAAGATAGAAATGCAATGGGAATAGAGGACACTGTATCTTTCAGGCACTGATCAGCTCTTAATAGAACTGGGCCCATTTTCTGTAACAAGAGGATTGGAATCTTAAGGGCAACATATTAGATGGAGCAGAGCCCATATCTGTGGTCAAGTGCCTCATGGTAGAAAAGAAAAACCAGTTGGCTGGTGAATAATACTTTTATTCCATCTTTTTAATGTCTGCTCATTCATTTGCTCTCTGCACATTGTGTATGAGCAGGTGGAAAAATTCAAAGGTATTCAGATTCTTTCTGGCTTTATTACAAGGGTACTTCTTGTGCTGCAGATACTCTCCCAGTGATTCATGATCAGCCCTCCCCATTTAGTGCATGTGGGTCGGTGATGCAAATTGCATAGTGTCCTATCTTTCTCCTTTAATTGGATGATTAATGTAACCAACACAGTGCAGGTTTCAAAATGATTATTTCAAGTGAAACATGATTCATGTTGCATTGGTTGTGCAATTCCAATTTTTTTTCTGAATAGCATTGGAACTTCACATTTATTCCTCCCAAGTAAAGCTGGATGGCTAGTCTTGAAGAGTAGGAGAAGACATTTTGCACCTTGCAAACTTGGGCCTGTGATAGAGAAAAAAAATTCTTATAAAAGCAAACTTCCCTGCCTATCTTGGCAGCCCCCAGCTCCTAATATCATTAGAAGCAGCTCTGTCAGCTCCTATTGACAAGTTGTACAACTTTTAAAAGGGATTAAACTGAATAGGAATCTGTCCAAATTACCTTATTTTGCAGGTGTTTAGAATTAAGGGAGGAATTAGATCCTATTTGTAGGATAGTTTAAGTATTGTGTAGAATTCTGTGTTGTATTATTTCCTTGATACAGGATCCCTCTAGAACCACTTTTTCCACTACTATTCTCACCTCTCCTGCCCTCTTGCCCCACCCAAATCCCACCCTAAACAACACCTGTTTTTTGACTGTCATGCTTAGCTTCTTAACATAAAGTAACCTTAAAACCCAGTGCTGTATCTTAAATGGGACTGGAAGAAGAAGGCCTAGTTTCAGGAGGGATCTAGTATGATGGATCACTAGGGGATGGACCAGGCTGTTGAGGCTTCTTAGCCTATAGTTCCGGCCTATCTCTGTACTTAATCCTTTTTACCTACAATTCTTTATGCTTGCTGCAGCAGGTATTTCTAGTAAGCCAGATAGAGGACAAACAGTTAATTTAAGGCTATAGCTGAATATGGAATAAAGTTGAGTGCAAATGTGAAATTGCTTCCAAGAAGAAATGCAAAAATCTAGAACTCTTGGTTCAGAGATGATACCTTTTTATTAGACCAACTGAGAAATTGAAAAAAAAATTACGTAAGCTTTAAGTGTTCTTGCAAATATTTCTTGCAAAAAAATATTTTTCTGCAACTGTTTTTTTTTGCAATTTCTCAGTTGGTCTAATAAAATCTGAACCAAGAGTTGTAGATTTTTGCATTGCTTTTTGTCTCAGACCAACATGGCTACCAAATACATCCCTGAAAATGCTTCCAACTCACTTTAAAAGGAACCTGGGATGGACCAGAATACCCCTCATTAAAATAAATGACTTGCAAATGGTGATGACAGAGAGAGTTGAATGCCTTCCACTGTGAATAACAATACTCAGAAGGTTGCATTTTTTAAAGTACTTGGCTGATGCTAATTTGTCTCGCTGCATCCTGGTGAGGGGGATAAGAGAAGTCTTGATTCTGAGCTTCACTGCTGTAAAAATCCGGACTAACTCCAGTAAACTATTAGAATGAGGGCAATCAATTCTGGGCCTAGAATATGGTACACATGGACTTTTCCTAAAATGTGTCCAGAGAGCAGGATCCTTACAAAAAAACAAAAACCAAAAACAAGTGTGTAGGCTGGATCCTAGCAACACGTATTACTGGGTTTTTCCTTACCACTCGCTGTAGCCCCATTGTAGTCCATAGGAGTTTAGACTGTGCATAAACACTGCTAACAACTGCACTCAATAGCAAGCATTTGCCAGCTCAAGCATTAACACTTGCAAACAAATAAACTATCCAAACTAAGGTTTGTCCTGAGTTGTAAAGGATCTTGATTCTTTCCCCTCTGTTTGATTGAAACCAAGGGAACCACTTGTATACAAGATTTAACCCTACCTAAAACTTAGTCCAGAAGCAGATTTTGCAGGTATTTTGTGTGAATCAAGGGCTGAGTCTTGCACTAATTTAACTACGCTGATCATATAAAGAAGAGATAAATCTGTCTCAGAATATACCCATTCAGTGCATTAGCTGTAAGTGACAATTAACCACTGGAACAAATGGCCAGAGGGAGGTGGGTTCTCCACTTCTTGAAGTCTTTAAGTCAAGTAACTGGAAGATACAGTTAGTAGGATCACTGCTGGGTGAAATGTAATGACCTGTAATGTACTGGAGGTCAGAGCAGATGATCTGATGGTCCACTTGGCCTTTAAAGTCTCTTTACATAAGCATAGCACTTCAGTCTTCAGGATAATGAATGTTATTTTCCCATAGTAGGTGTGTACATTCCCTGGCAAATGGCATGAATAAGGAATGTTTCCAGGAAAACATTATCCTGTTATTAGATCAGGGACACAGGAAATGGGGCTAGTAGTTTTTATTCCCAGCTCATCTGCTTTATAAATGCTTCTGGACTAAGTTTTAGGTAGGGTTCCTCATCTGAAAATGAAGTACTCTCAATCTATTTTGTCCTCATGAGGGAGGATAAATGTTTGTAAGGTGTTCTGAGATCACTGAATATAAGACACGGTAGAAGTGTGGGGTTTTATAACAATCCAACTAGTCAATCTGTCCGACTGGTGTGATGTTACAATCAAGCTAGTCCATACAATCATACGATCAATACTATGATTGTCCATACAAGTCCAGTGCACAAGAAGGTGGCAGTCTGGTGTTATACTGTGTGAAGGCTTCTGAGGAATCTTATGAATGGTGTTATCCATTTAAAAAGACTGTGCGTATTGAAAGTGGTGGGCATGGCCAGGCAGGCAAATTATACCAAGGAATGGGGAGGAAACTTACTGGGTGTTGGCTGAACTGCAGTACCTGTTTTATATGCCCACTCTTCTCCTGTGGCAGTGTTTCTGAACCTGTGGGTTGTGACCCACGAGTGGGTTGCAAGAATATATGAAAGGGTCCTGAACAAACTTTAAAAATGGATTCTCCTTTAAGGAGAAAAACATGGGAAACCATGGCTTTTCCCTTGCAGGCTGGAAGAGTTACAGCCTGCAAGGGGCTGCTTGGGGCTCCCCTTGCCCTACACCTACCCCCTGCCCCACACACAGGGGTTCTGGGGCCTGGGGGCAGTGGGTCAGGAGTGAGGGGCACTGGGTCAAGACTGGCCATCAATGTTTACAAATGGGTTCTGGTACAAAAAAGGGTGAGAACCACTGCCCTATGGTACCTGAAAGCTAAATCATAGTAACTTAGCCTATTACGTTCAGGGGTAAGGTGCCCTGGTTTAGCTGTAACTTACTACAGGATAGAATTAGACTCACAGAACAGTTACCACTGGACAGCGCTGACACAGCATGAGCTCCCCTCCACTTTTAATAAAGTATAAGTCATTTGTCTGTCCAAACCAATATCTGCCTGTTAACAATTCTGCACTCAGGATTTGTGAACTAGCGCAACTGCCCAAATTATTAATTGTTCTATTTAGTAAAGTCCTAAAGGATTAACTGTAATACTACTAATGCAAAATGACCTGTCATCCCTGCCAGCATAAAAGGGAATTTAAATAGCTTCCTCTCTCATTCCATAACATTTTGTACCCTCCTTATACAGATGCAAAGGACGGCACAGTGTAGAAGATGAAGCATCTTAATGCACGTGTAGTGTGTGCAAAATGTCTTGTATTGGTGATTTACCCAGGTAGGAGTCACTTTTTACATTAGTGCCCTTCCTTTAGAATACAGCTTTTTATTGCTACAGGCTCCAACACAGCTGCCTCCATGCAAAATGTCCCCACTGTAATTCCTTTGCCTTCATTAGAACCACTTCAGATTTACACTGATTGAAGAGCAGAGTTTTCCCACCATAAATTTCCACTCTTTCCAGTGTTGCTTCAGTTTCTTTACCATAGGCCCTTTTCTTTTGCTGATAGAATAATTTATTTTTTGTGCTTTTCTCTCAGCTCTGGGATTAAATCACTCCACGCTGAAATCCTGTATTTATCTCTGCTGTGCATGGTAGTGACCTCAGGCATGACGTGCCAGGCCTCCCTCCACAGAGATCAGAGATGATAAAGCTGTCTTTACACCAATTTCTTCAGTCTGGAGTCTCTCCTGGCCAGAGATTCCCTGTACCATCAAACTAGCAGCTTGTCTCCAGAGGCTGAATATGACAGCTGAAAGCTCGGCTAATGTGAAAGAAGGAATGAGCTTCAATCAGGTAAGGGGATTTTATTTACCATCCCTCTGCACTCACCACTCCTCCACCGTGTATGTCCTGTAATGTTTCACCTGCTGAGAAAGGGAGGCACAGCTATTCATCTGACTTCCTATCCTTGGTGATCTGCAGTGACCCGAATACTGGAAGCATCTCAGCTTTATCTGGCTATTCATTTATCATTTGCCTGGTCCTAGGGAAAAAAAAACAAACAGTTATGGATGTTAAAGTGACTTACTTGAAATCTGTAGGCTTGCTTTTTGTTTGCAGGTGTCAAAGCTAGTTTTGTACGAGACAAATACCCAGTGTAATTTTTGGATATCATTTCTGCTGCTCACAGCAGCCTTACAGGAAACCCTCAGGAGCAAAATGTGTCATTTAAGGAAGAAAGAGATGGTTTTTAGGAAGATGACATTCATGGGTGAACTTTGTGGGCCTTGGTATGTTACATGAGCTGGCATTTAGCATCAGTGGTAGGTGATGTTTTTAGTTACAGACCTACTATCCAGAAGAACTCCTGAGTATCAGTTGGAGAAACATATCTGTAGGGAGTGATGCCATTTAAGGCTCTGATTCAGGGTCGAGTTTTCACCAGATCCATCAAAGAAAACAGCAGCATTTCTCTCCTAGTAGAACTGACCAGTTTCTTTTGAGCAAAAGCTGAGAATGTTGCTGAATTCCACCTCTGTGTATATTTGCCAACACCTGCCTAAGAAAAATGTTACTCTTCACCGGCCTCTGACAGCTGTCCTGTCTTGGCAAAGTGAAGTAACACTTTCAGTTGTGGGGGGGCAGGAAAGACACAGAAATAATTTTTCATTTGCAGAACTATGTTTTCTACATGCAGACAAAGTTTCATCTGGGATAGGATGTTGCAGCTTTAATGAAATGATGCCTGCCTTGCAAAGTGTATGTGCCTGTGGCTGTTTGTTACAACAGAAAACTGGGAGTCATGACTCCCAGGTTCTGTTTCCGGTTTTGCCATTGATTCATTGTGTCCTACTTTCTTCACTTTGTATTAAGTGAGGGTGATGATACTGAGTCATCTTGCAGGAGAGGTTTGAAGTCTATCATTTGGGCAGTGTGTTAATAGGACTCTGGTCACAGGTCCACTTATTCAGTGTATTGTGGATGGTGTTGCTTTTAACATACTTTCAAGCCTTTTAGTCAGCACCTTTTGGGGCCTGTGGCCCAGGTTCTAAATCTAAATCTTCTCGGGCAGCCTGGGTAGCTCAAAGGACTGGAGGGTGGTGAAAAATGCCAGCTCATGCTGCATTTGATCTCCTTTAGTCTCCTCTTTTTGGGAGCCACATGGTTAAGGCATCTCATTATGGACCCAGAGATGCGTCTCAGCCTTACTTTGGATATACACCAAAATACTGCCCCCAGACAACCCAGCCGTAAATGAGCAGCTGTTCATTCAGTCAAGGGAGTCAAAGGCAGGTAGATGTGATGCTGGCCTGTGTCCTCTTGTCTACAGAGGCAGGCATGTCTACACTTTACTAGTCCAACAAGACAACTAAGCTTGGGCAGGTTTTTGGCTTGACTTTTTCAAATCTCTGCCTTTGGAAACCTCAGCCTTTTAATTGTAAGAGCTGCTTGCAAAATATTCAATCCAACCTTTTTTTCTGCAATATTCAGGGAGGGACTGGAGAATATGCAAATCATCACTTGGACCGTCTCCTGTGAACCAAAGACCATCCCAAGGACTGTGGGGTTTGACACTTGTTCCAAAGCTGAGATAGATTAGTGCAAAGATTTCCATTGATTCCAATGACTGCTGGATTTCTTGACTATTGTCCTTCTCCCCTGAAGCTTTTGCTTTGATCTTGAGCAACCCTGGATAGGGTTTGCAGCCAACTGAATGCAGCTGAAAGGAAGAGATGTGGCCCCTGAACCCCTCTTATATAAATGCACCAGAGCTTTGGTAGCTGCAAGCATCCCATGGGCTACAGTCTTCACTGGCATACACTAGGGTTGATCCATTAAGTGATACTAATGTTCTGTCCCTGTATGCTTAGTGTCTTCAGCTGGTACAGGACTCAAAAGACTCAGCATGGAGCAAAGTGGTTAAAGTGACAGGTGTAATCCCTCCACCACCAAAGATCTGGCTTTTAAAAAGATTGACATAGTGATTTCTGTAAATTCTTTTTTTCCCCTTTAAGCCAAGTAAATGTTTCCTTAGGTTGGTAAATTCCCCAGCTCAAGCTGCAATTATTTTGCAAAGATCAAAGAGAATTAGTGAAATCCTTGGGAGGATTTAGTTGCAAGAGCTGTGATTGAATCAGGAAAGTGATTGCTCTGTGTATTATGACAGACCTCAGTGCCATTCAGAATGCACTTGAGGCAGCTGCTTATACTAGTGAGACTGTCCTCAGCAAGAGGGGACAATCTTCAGGCAACAACGGGCCAGACATCCACTAGCTGTGCAAAAAGAGTGTCTTTTAATGCCGAAGTTGAATTGTGATTCATTCCCAGTTGCTGTGTGTTTCTCTTAAGTCTTCAGGTAATTTTCACTTTGGTGTAGCCTGACTTGCCACAAAGGGTTGTGACATAAGGTTCATGTTTCGCATGTGATTTGTCAAATGAAAGACATGTTGGGTTTCAAAGTGGCTTGAAAATTCCCAGACCCTCCCTGTGCAGTCAGTATTGCTGAGCTTGTCTTATTGATCTGGAAGAGACTCGGTAAAAGGCCTGCAAAGGGGCTCACCACCTGGCAGGATCAGTGACTTGCTCAGGGCCATGCAGTGAGTCAATGGCAGGGTGTGGGGAATTTCTGGCTCGCGCTCCGGATGATGGATCATAGGTCTCTTCTGAAGCCCTCATGCCTCTGACTTGCTTGCATCTCACACCCTGCTGGAGAATTTTGGGGGAGGGGTTCCCCAGCAGCTCGGAGATCAAACTGTCTGGTTCATGGAGTACAGCAGCGCTTCTATTTAAACCTGTTTGTCCTGCGTGTCAGAGGCAGCTCATGATCTTTGAGATGCAATTGTCTGTCTTACTGCCTGTCTCAGTAAATTTCCCCTTATGACGGATGGGTGAACTTGTGGCCTCATGATCTCTCAACTGATGTAGTTGACACAAGGCCCCTGGCTGCACACATAGAGAAAGCTTACAAGGCAGGAGAACGTAACCCTGCAGGAGGTGGGGAAGCACTCGGGGCTGGAGGAAGAGCTCCCTCCTGCCTAGCTGACTCTTCTCAAGTGTCTTTCTCAGCAGCCTCTTTGTTTGCTGTACTATCCTCTCCTCATTAAGCTCCTTCACCTCATCAATGTGGCTGGCAGGACAGCAGGGACTTGGCTGGCTCCTCATCATAACTTGGGCAAAGGTGTGTCTGTTCTACTGTGCTCACTCCCAAAGTCATGCGCTTTATCCTGTGTGTCTTAGAGACAAAAGTGATCCGACCAGTTTTCTATTTCAAGCAATGTGAACTGAATGGAAATAAAGGTTTCCGGTGTGTGTGACAGCGCAGGGGTAGCAAACAGTGATTTTATTATTATTATGAATTTGTGTGTGTTTAATTAAACATTGTCAGAAATTATCTGGAGTAGCAATAAGTGGATGCATCTTGGGAAGATGACTGAATAAGAGTAAATACAGCTGTTGGAATCATTCCAGTGTTGGGATAATCCTTGGTAGGTGAGTGGCTTTGAGAGATCAATTAATAGCACATCCTGCACTGGAGTAAGAAGGTGTAACGCTTATTAGCCCATTGGATAGAGAACTAAACTTAGCATCAGGAGACTGGGGTTGAATTCCTGGCTGCCCCACTGGCCTGCTGGGTGATTATGTCACTCCCCTGCTCTCTGCCTAAGTTTTTCTGGCTGTGTAATAGGGATAATGATTCCTTCTGTAAAGTCTTTTAAGGTCTGTAAATGGAAGGAGCTATGTAAGTGTTGAGCAGTATGTTGTCTTTACATGTGCGTGAGTTGGGTCCAATCTGTTTTCTGTAGCTGGAGAGATGGTGGGGGGAACCATGTCATGCTTTGCTCATGGCATCTCCAAGATTTTCCCAGGCAAACTAGAATAACCTGGGGGTTAATAACAAAAAGCTATAGCAAGCAAATGATGCTCTGTGGCGACCCTGCTTCCCCTTAGCTCAGGAAATAGTCTAGGGCTTTTAATAGCTCTTTGTATTCAGGGGAGGGGCTCAAACTCTTATTAACAATCTTGTCCCCTGTCAACTGAGGGAAACTGAGGTTCACAGCTCCTGTGAGGCCTGAAGTCACAGCATTTTCTGGTGTCTGCATCCAGCTCTTAGAAAAATCTACAGGGTAAAGTGCTTCTGACCCCTTGTGAACAGGACTGATTAACAATTGGGCTGCAGCTGGGAAGGGTTTGGAAGCACCAGTCCTAAAAGATGTAGATTTCCGTTTTTCTTTTCTTTTTTTTTTTTCCTTTTTTTTTTTTTTTTTTTTTTTCCTTTTTTTTTTTTCTTTTTTTGAAAAAGTTTTGTCACACAACGCAACTGTAAGAAAATGAACTAAAAATGGAGGCTTATCTGGAGCATTTGATCTGGGTGCAGCCAGGTTGTGCCATCTTCTATTGAATATGTGTCTGTTCCAGGAGTCCCCAGCCAGTGCCCTGTCCCCTCCACCCCAAACCTTAGAGCCACTGATTGAGCAGAGGGTGAAACCCAGGCTCAGAAAGGTGATGCTGAATTCCTGACCAAAATAAGGCTGAGACGAGAGGAATCCTGGCTTTCCGGCCTGGGTACCACACAGGCTTCTTTCCTCCAGGTGCTAAACCGGTTTTGGGGAAAAGTTAGGCAGCTGACCCAATAAACAATATCACCGCTCCAAAAATCCTTGCCCCTCGCATCATTCCCAAGCTGTCCTGGCTACAACATCACTCTCTAACACTATATAGTATATTAGACACTATAATCTAATATACATTTATAATATACAGTGTGTGTGTATATATGTGTGTATGTGTATGTATGTATATGTATATATATGTGTGTGCGCGCGCATATGTATGTGTGTGTGTATATATATATG